AATAACTTTTTTTGTTTGTTTTTTAGTTTTGTTTTTTTAAATTCGGTAATTATTTCTGTTATTGCTTGTTATTAGAAATTGTTTAAATAAAAACTTTTATGCTTGCAAGATAAATAAAAAAATTTTATTATAATTTATTTTTGTTAGGCGCTTAACATATCTTTTTTTTTTCCTTTACTGAACTTATATTTTTGATGGAAAAGCTTGGTTTTAATGGAAAAATAAAATTTTCTTTGTTTTTTCTTAAGTTACATTTGTCAAAAGTAATTACGTCGCGCAAACTTTTTTATACGTAATTGTTATTCAAACTTTATAACGTTTTTATAACGTTCATTACTTCTTTTATATTACCATAGTCATAATATACATATCTTATATTATCATATCTTATATTATGACTGATATTACCGCTCGTTTTAATATTAAAAAATGGCTTACGTGAATGGCTCACTGCTTAAATGTAAAATGGCTTACGGCGTACGTAAATAGTGCCATTTTAAGCTTTAAAACAAGGCCTGAAAATTCAAGCATTCCAACAAGCCATAATCACAATGTTCCAACAAATCCCGATAACTCTATAAAAATCGCATTTAAATAAAGACCACAAAAAATGCTACTTAGTTGTTATCAAACAATTGTACAAAATTATCTATTCGTATGCCAGAAGCTACCAGCCTTAGTAGAACAACTAGTTTCAATCTCACCAATGTAGATACTTTCTTCAAAAACCTTGACAGTGTACAGAAGCGCTATAAGTTTTCTGCTGATTGCATTTACAATATTGATGAAACAGCTTTTACAACTGTTCATAAGCCAGTGAAGGTGGTTGCGGGTAGAGGAGTAAAGCAAGTAGGACAGATTCGTTTTTTATATATCAATCAATCGTTTTTTATATATTTTTCCGTCTCCACTTTTGTAGCCACATGCTTAAAGGTGCACCAACAGGTACCAAAGGTGATGCTAATCCTAGTGGATGGATAAATACAGAAATATTTTTGAAATGGTTTGATCATTTTGTGCAGTATGAACATCCTAGCCAGCATAATTCATTACTTTTAATAATGAACAACCACAAAAGTCATATATCGATTGAATTGATGGATAAAGCTAAGGAAAGTAATGTTGTGCACTTGACATTGCCACCCCATTGCAGCCGCAAACTCCAACCACTTGACAGATCAGTTATTGGTCCATTAAAGAAATTCATCATGTGATTCATGGTTAAAGGCACATCCAAATACTCCTATGGCAATATATAACATCTGAAAATTTAGGAATAGCTTATGCGAGAGCCTTTACTTCCCAAAACATTCAAAATGGTCCTAAGGCAGCTGGCATTTTCCCGTACAATCCATATGTTTTCAGTGGTGTAGACTTTTTATGTTCTTATGTATCTGATCAACCAATTCCAGCAAATATCTCTACCTTATCAGGCAGTTTGTTCAGTAGTATTTCTCAACCGGTCTAAAAAACAATTTCTGTCAGTATAGCTTATGTATGCTATCAGACAGACTCTGCAACTAAGTCTTACAATTTAAGTAAATTATCTGATTCGCAAACACAAACAATCCATACACCACTATCTATTGTATCAGAAGTTATTAATGACAAGAAACAGCAAATAATCACTTCTGCCTACCATTGGATAGCAGAAGATATAGGTCATTTCCAACAGGTGAGAGGGCGACAAAGAGAAAAAGTTCAAAAAGAAAATGTTCTAGGTCTCTGGAATTGACTGACACACCAACAAGAAATGAACTAGTTGTAAGTTTATTAGAATGAAAAAAAAAAAGAAAAAGCAAAAAAGATACCCCTTGAGACATCAACGCAATATTGACTCTATTTAAACATCAAGCAACCTTGTTGAACAAAGTTATAAATACATTTAAAATATCTTATTTTAATTAAACACAAATAAATGTTGTGTATTGTTATGTTATATAAGAAGTAGAATAGACAGATTAAAATAATGCTCAAAATTATTTGTTTGTAACTTGTCCCATTTCACCCTAACATGGGGTGACTTGGAAAAAACAGTCACATTAAAAAAACGAGGCCGTGAACTTAATTTGATGGTTAAGTAATGGGTTTTTAAATAATTTCCCATGACAACTAATTAGACTATAGTTTTAACCCGTATTGCATGGTGTTTGGCAAAAATATAATGCGCGGCACACAAACAAATTTTTTTGTCCCATCTCATCCCGTTCTCCCCTCTTATGTATAGAAATATCATACTCTTTAAACCATTCAATAAGAATAAAAAAATAACCAGCTCTGGTATATATTGCATTTCTGAGGTAATTTTAGAAGTATATAGTGGATAGATATAGTACAAAGTACTCCAAACTTATTTAAAACGATATCTTCACTACGACCTTAACTTAAAGCATGGTTTAACTTTAATGGAAGGGTAATTCCGCATCAAATCACCCAAAATTTTGAACCATGGGTTCTCAAACTTTTTAAAAACTTTTGACTAAAAAGAAAAGCTAACACATAAAATTTCAGGTAAAAATGTTGAGCGGTTGACAAGATACTGTAATTTTGATTATTTTCTTGAAAAAGTGATATAACTTTGAAATTAAAGTTCCAGTTAGATTTTTTGTGGCTAGTAAGATTATAAGCAGCTGAAAATATTAACAGGAAGAAAAAAATTTTGAAGAGTGTTTTGAGATATTGGGCCCCAAAGTTGGTTTATAGAAACTAGTTGTTTCATCATGTTTTCAGCATGTTTCTTTAATATTTCAGCATTTTAAGTACATTTATTGAATTCAGCATTAAAAAATAACTCTATATGTTTATTTTCATATTTTTGCCATTTTTATATCTTATTTTTTTAAGAAAAATGTTTTTTCAGAATGTTATGAAAACTGGGTCGTTTTGGGAAATCAGGTCAAAATTAAAATTACAGTATCTTGTAAACCGCTCAACATTTTTAGCTGAAATTTTGCATGGAATATTTTTTTATAATTAAGAATAATGTTTCAAAACATAACTCAAAAAGAAGACACATAGTTCAATGGACTGGGTGATTTGATGTGGAATTACCCGGAAATGACAACTACACGATTGCCTTTTTTTATTAATTCATGTTCCAAAACAAACGAGATTAGTTAAAAAACAACAAGCAAAACCAAAAAAATTTTTGATTGCAATGAGAAAGATTGTGGCATTACAATTTTTTTCTCAGTGAAAATGGGTCGTCCTTAAATTACATCATGCTCTAGGAAGATGGAGGTAATGATTTTGTGTCAACTTATACAGGACTTGTGACATAGGGTTACTTAAATGTGACATAGGGTGGGGGGATTCGTCAAAAATGGTCAAAAAATGTCTGATGTAAGTTATGGATGACTCTAAAGTTGTTTGACACTGATGAATTGTTACCAGTGTCTAGTAGAAACGGTGATGAATTATCTCATAATATGTAAATAAAAATGGTCAAAGCAATCTCAACAAAAAATATGGAAACTACTTTATACAAATTAACATCTGGAAAAAAAAAACCCATTTGCAAACAAAATTGATTTTTACCTTAAATTGTTCACTTTGGAGAATAGCTACTACAGCAAACCCTTACCAGTAGTGGTCACCAAATGCAAAACATTATTGCTGTCATCAAACAATCAAAATATTTTTATCATAACTTACCACCTATTGTATCAAAAGCTTCAGATAAATTATAATACAAATTTGAACTTTTCAAATGATTCTGTAATATATTGTGTTATTTGGAGTATAGCGTGTACAGTAGAGTTTTTTTTTAATTTAATTTTTTAAAATTTTTAAAGTTTTTTATATTCATACTGATTTACTTGAATACTAATTTGAGAAAGATCAACAAGGTAACTCTTTATAAAATTTTTTTTATAAAGAGTTACCTTGTTATTTTTGAGAAAACAGAGAGAAGAGATGACAATAGCTAATTACTAATATTAGGCAAGTCTCCTTTGAATAAAGGTGAATCTTAAGCTTCAATCAATAGCTTAAATAGACAGGATAAATAGTTTATCTTGTCTACTTAAGCTACTGAAACTTCAATGTGATGTACTTCAATGTTTAATAAAAAAGGAAATTTATTCAGTGATGGATCCAGGACTTTTTGGTGTTTGCTAATATCCAGACATAAAAAATGTTATTGAAACTTATATTGAATAATGATACTTTGCAAAAAATTAAGGTGATTGAAAACTGGGAACAAAAAAGCCCTTTAACTTCATTGGTAAACTATAGTATAAAGAAAATTAAGATTATAGTTTGTCATTTTAATTTAAATCAAGAATCCATGTTAAGAGAATAACATTCTTGTAATTCTTGATTTAATATAGAACCGATTGTAATTCTTGATTTAATATGGAACCGATTAAAATTAACAAAGTAGTTGTTGCACTTATAAAGTAGATGTTGCAGTTGCAAAGTAGAAATTGCAGTAGCAAAGTAGTTGTTGCAGTTATCAGGTAGATGTTGCATTTTCAAAATTGTTATTTTAGTCGCAATGTAGTTGTTGCAGTTGCAAAGTATCTGTTGCAATTATAAAGTAGTTGTTGTTATTTTTAACTTTAAACTAGCTTTTGAAACAATAAATATGGAACAGTTTATTTAGTTCAGTTCAAATAGAGAACATCATTCTAATATAAAAATATAAATGTGAATCACTTATAATAACTTTTCATTATTGCAAGGTTGCTATTGCTATTATATAAAGACTGTTTAACATAAAACAAAAAACACAAAAATAAAATATTAGCCAAAATAATTAATTAAAAGATTTAACTACAGGTTTTAATCTTAAATCAAAAAAACAAAAAATAGCATAAATTTAGCTAAATTTTTTGTTATCTTTTATCATTTATTTTATCATTTATTTATTCACTTTTTTAAAGTATTTTTTTATATATGTTTTTAATATATGCAAAACTCCTAGTAAAAAATATTGAAAAAAAGAAAAAATTTTTTGTTTTTAAATTTTATATATTTTTTATTTTATTATGATATAGGTTTAGAACTTTTTTCTCAACTCCCGAACCTGGACACTGTATTTGTTTCTGTCGGAGGAGGGGGTCTTATAAGTGGAATTGCGCTTTATTTAAAGTTAATAAACCCGAGTATCGAAATCATTGGATGTCAAGCTATAAATGATTGTTGTATGCACGAGTCTATTTCTGCTGGAAAATTAATTCAAAATTATTCATATTTAAACACGTTTGCTGACGGGGCAGCAGGAAAAGTTGAACCAGGTTCTATAACTTTTGAAATTTGTCAAAAATATGTTGACAAATGGGTACTTGTAAATGAAGAGGATATTGAAAAAGCAGTGTACGATGTTTTAATAAACGAAAGAAAAATTATTGAAGGATCTGCGGGACTTACGATTGCCGCTCTTCGAAAAACAAAAATTGCTAATAATAAAAATGTTGCTTTAATTGTTTGTGGGGGAAATATTGGAATAAAAAGTTTGAACTACTTGTTTGAAAAATATGCCAAGCCAAATTTTTAAATATTAAGTATTGTTTGTAATGTTATACGTGAAAAAATATGCGGAGCCATATTTGTAAATATTAAGTATTGTTTGTAATGTTGTATATGAACTCCAATTATCTGGAGTCCTAGATATTTAAAATTCAGATTTGCAATCCGAATTCCAAATATCTGGGATTACATTTTGATTTTTAAAACCAAAATCTCATTGTGTGGAAATATTGGGTATTTTGGAAATCAAAGTATAATAAACAGTTTTTAGTTACTTTAAAAAAAAAAACATCCTTTAAGCATTACGAAATTTTGTAATTAGTAAATAATATTTAGGCATTAAATACTAAGTACTTATTAAACATAATAATAGTTATTATTTTTAGATAAGATCAACTAATCTTATAAAAATAATTAATAATCACCTAAAATACTTTATAAAAACTAATACAAACAATTTGAGAGTCACGTTGCGATTGATTTATACGATTCTGTAAAAGATGTTTTTATAATGGACATAAATTTTAAATAATTTATACAAATTTTATTGACTAAAAAATTTTGTTTTTATTGTTTGGTAATTCATAGCTATTAATTGATCTTTAAACTAGGGATGTACCGACTTCGGACTTCGGCATGCCGAAGCTTCGGTTTCGGCCGAAGCCAGGGTCAGTTTTTGCCGAAACATCGGCTTCGGCGAGTTTTTTTTAGGTAATTAAAAGCAATAAGCTACTGTTATGTTAAACATAAAATAATTTTATCGCTTTTAATATAATTACTATAATTCTGCTACATATAATTTAACGGGTACTTTTTTATATTTTATTTAAGTTTTATGTTTAATTTTATTCCTTTGTTATATTTACTTAAACCTATTTTCAATAAACCTTGTATTTGGTTTTTTTGCGCTTGAAACGTACGCTTGAAAAATTATTTCTTATCACCACGCAAAAAAATGAACAATTAATTACTTTTTAATTACAGAAGCAGATAACCTGCAGAAAATTAAAGGCAGCATGCTGCAATAATTGTATGCATACTAAAACACTTTGAAAGCGCTACAAAAGGTAAGAGCAGACACATCAGAGATCATACCGTTTCTAGACTATGCTAGGGACAAATAAACTGAAGTCAAAACTGTTGTTGATGAACTTAAAACTGATTTTATAAGTCATTTTCATTAATACAAAAATAATGTTCGTCTGAAAAGTGCAATGATTCTCGAACCCCGTTTCAAATGGAATTTTTTAAAGAAACAGATCATAGCATGTTTAAGGAAATTTTATATCAATTGATCATTTATAACAAGCAAAAGAAGTTAATTTCCCTAAAGGCTCCGATCGTGATGGTCCAATCAAAAAAGAAAACATGGGCATGTACAATAGAAATGCCTCACAGAAATATATGAAAACACTGACGGATGGAAAAAAAGTATAATAGTAAAAATCCTAGAGGAAAAAATCAAAATTTATAAGGAAAATCGTATGAATAAAAAATATCTAAATGAAATTGTAATTTTTTTTATTTATTACAAATTTAATTAAAAATTGATGTTAATTTTCAAATTAATTATTATGTTGCATTCAGCCCTGCTAATAGAAATTTATTTACAGGTTTATTAGCACACCAGAATTGCTGTAGACAAAACTATATTATATTTATACAATGGAAAGATTACTGCTAGCAGACACACACTATATAATAAAACTATATAAATTGAGTCATAGTTTTGATTCAGCATGGACGAAGTCAACTTCAAGTTTAGTCTATCAACATTACCAAAAAATGAATGCCCTTATAATTGGTGGGGTGTTACAATTACATCTGCCCCGATAAAGACACCTCCTTCATCCGTTAAGAGTGAACTTCTGTTCAACACAACGGGAAACATATTTCAAGCCAATAGAATCAGGCTGTTGCCTGAGCATGGAGAACAGATTATGTTTTTCAACTATAGTTTGCCTGATTTCTAAAAAAGTATAATTAATTTAAACGTAATAAACTAATAAGTACTTATTAGTTATTAGTAAGTACTTCCCAAGTAGCAAACAATATTGGCGTAATATTGGCACGATATTGGGTATCTTGGCTAATTTTGGCCAAGATATCCGATATTGCGCCAATATTGTCAAACAATATTACGCCAATATTGTCTTACCAATATTGGCAAACAATATTGCGCCAATATTATCCATTATCGTTTTACTGATACTGTTATGCCAATATTGGCGAAATATTGTTTGCCAATATTGGCCTCGTGTTAAATTTTACATATTGGCACGCATGCGTAACATTAAGGAATATTCATAATGTCCTTTAGTTTTGTTAAATGTGTTTAAATGTAAAAATCTTTTTACATAAACAGGCATCCTTATGTTATTAATTTTTTTACAAAAACAAATAAGAGTTCAAAATAAAAATTTTAATTTATGGAAAGAGAAGAAGTAGGAAAAGTATTTTTAAATCAACATTAACAGAGTAAATCAGGAGAAGAAATGTTGGTAATTTATTTTAAAACAGATAGTATCACAAGAAGAAGTGGTAAGAGAAATAAAATTCTTTTATTCAACATTACGAATGGAATTACAAGAAGAAGTGGTTGTAATTAATTTAACACATATTGCATCACGAGAAGAATAGGAAAAATATTGCTATACTTAAGTATCAAGATTAAAATAGTAAGTTTACTCTTAAATGAAAACATTTTGAGAAGATTTCATCTATATAATATAAGTTTTATAGTCTATTTATTTTATTAAAAATATTCGTTTAAGAAATAAATACGTCATTATTGTTGTTTCTAACTGTTATAAGATTTTAATTTACAAAAAAGGTACCTCTGCATGACACATAATAACATCAATAATATATATATATATATATATATATATATATATATATATATATATATATATATATATATATATATATATATATATATATATATATATATATATATATATATATATATATAGCCGTGGCGCAGTGGTAGCGCACTAGCCTCAGAAACGTAAGATCCGTGGTTCAAACCCCACCTCTGGGCAAGTTTTGCGACATCGGTTGGGAAGGAGGCGTGAACTTCCCATTAAATGCTCTTCCGCGGTGCTCTGTGATAAGACCGTAAGGACTTCTTGGGGCACCTTAATCAACTTAAAAAAAAAAAAAAAAAGAATATATATATATATATATATATTATTGACCTTCACACACACACACTCACATAAATTTATTACAAAATAATAATTTTGCAATAAAAAAGTTTTTTTTATGTCTTTTATTTGATATAGCATTTTATTTAATGCAATAGTTTAATACAATGTTATAGGTAATAAACAAATCAATAAGTTAAACTAGATCTTCTACATCATGTTATGTTAAGAGTAGTTAAACAAGATTAAATTCACATAATAAGTAATGCTAAAAATAGTAAAAATTATATAAATGCGACTTTGAAATTGCAATAAACTTTAGTGAGGATTGATGTTGGACATTAGCCTTGGAGAATAAAACTGATATAGAAAATTTATATCAGATATATTGAAATCTCTCAACACATTTCACAACTCCTACTTCTAAAATTAAAAGCTTATAGAATAAATAACTAACTCTACAATTGGATTTTGATGTTACCAAAGAAATCGGCATTACAGTATCAGTTTGTGGTACATACTCAGAATGGATAATAGTAAACAGTGGGGTCCCCTATTATTAACTTTTATGATATATAATAAAGATTTTTCTGATTTTGTTTTAGATGTTGTATCTGTATTTACAGATGATACTAAGTTATACAGCTTTTTGATAGCTCACCATGCAATAACCTGCAATAAAGTATGGACATTATAGCAAACTGGGAAAAACTATGAAAACTAAGTTTAAATGTAAAAAAATGTAAAGTTATACCCTTAGGACCAACAAATACAAAATTTTTCCTAAGGGCTAAGAATACCCTTAGGACCAACAAATACAAAATTCATTAATAAACTCGTTTATAGAAAATCTCAATACTTCAATTAATATTAAAAACTTTCTCGTCAATAAAGGGATGTATTCACCGCTACAGATGTCATGATCTATTTATAATCAATTGCTTTTACTCTTCCATAATGTCATATTTTAATAAGAATCACATTATGGAAAACCGTCTAATACATACACATGAGGAACCATTATACTTTAAATACAACCAATTATGTTACATTTGTTTTCTTATTTTAGATGAACTTTCTTACTTCGGTTGGAGGAGATGAGAAACAACTTACATCGGCAATCTTAATACAGCTAATGGCCAAAGAAATATGTTTTTCATACTTAGTGTATGGAATGAAACAAAAGCGTCCTGCAAGGTCGTTATAGGTAAAGCACAATATTTGTATTCTACATCCCATTTCCTTTTAATAAATAAATATTTTAATAAAAGCTAATTACTTTACAATATTTATACGTGAAAAGTTATATATTTCAAAATTATATTATGATGATATTCAAAAAACATTTTGTAGAGTTGCGTTTAATTGTTTATCGTTGTATTTGTTCATTTCGAAATCGCTACTGACAAAAGTATTAAAGAAAAAATTGGCAGCTTTCTGGCGACGGCCATTAATAGAGATTATGGAAGAAAAATAGAACCGTAACTGAGCAACGCCCGATATTGAGCAATGAAATAAGTTTCGCCAATATAATGAAAGTCGATGCCCACTATCTCATAGTGAGAGTATAATACAGTAGTTTTTATATATATATATATATATATGTATATATATATATATATATATATATATATATATATATATATATATATATATATATATATATATATATATATATATATATATATATATATATATATATATACATATTTTTTGTACGTGTATTTAAATAACATTGATTTTATTTTGTTATATTTTGGTTTCGGAAAACTCTGTACCTCTTTTTTTCATTTATATCTGTTTCATATAACTTTAAATAAATTTAATGATTTCGAATTTTTTTTTCTTAAAACGTGTTCTATGATTATTGCCATCTCCTAGACTATAACCTGTTTGACTCAAAAGAATAATGCAGCCTATTACTATAGTATCACATGAAC